CTTGTCCACTCCCCGAAGTTCACTTCTTCCAGTGTTTGGGGGTGGTCCCCACTCCGTGGCCACTCAAAGTGCCAGCTGCCCTCTCTCCTGGCACCAGGCCCACCCCACATCTGTCCCCCCTCCGCTTCTGCCTCCTGAGTCCCCTCAGCCTGGCCCCACACACTGAGTCCAGACGGACCCAGAAAGACCCTGGAGGGCAGCGGGGCCAGCTCCCGGTGCTCCAGGACAGTGAAGCCCGGTGGGGAGCGTCCAGGCTAAGCCAGCTTGCTCGAGTCCCCCCGGCACTCCTTCCCTGAGGCAGGAGGCAGAGGCATGCCCAGCAGCCCAGGCTCCACGCACACAGCGGAGCGCTCCGTCCTTGCAGCCCTTCCAGAAGGCTCTGGGAGCCTAAGGAAGGGACTGCCCCCAAACAGCCAGCTCCTCCAGGAGTCCCCGAGGACTCAGCTGTTGGCAGAGGAGGTGGAAAGGCAACGTGAGAGGTCCCTGGGAGGCTTGGAGACCCCGGAATAGCCCCGACAGGCTCGCAGCTCCCCGGGCGTCTCCCTCCACCTCATTTCTTTTCAGGTTTTTTCTTTTCGTTCTGCAACAGATCACACCAGCAGTCTACCCACTGCATGTGGACAGCGCAGCCACGGCCCCGAGCACGCAGGGCACATCCGAGACCTGCCTGCTCCTCTCTAGGGATTGCTTTGCAGAGGGGATTCTGAGGTGGGGAGGAGGGCAAAGGAGGACAGCATTTCCTTATCGGAGGTGAGCCCTGCTAGGGCACAGCCCACACGATGCTTCACGTTACACTCAGACGCCAGGAGAGAGGGCAGCTGGCACTTGGAGTGACCCCACTGTGCAGAAGAGCTCACCGAGGCCGAGGGAGGTTCAGGAAGCAACAGGCTCGAGGGGGCGACGCCCAGCAGGTGTAGGCCCAGGCGTTCCTAGCGAGCTCTGCACGACACAAAACCAAGCAAGACGCCTTCAGCCCGGGCTGTGGTCTCCGTAGGAACAGAGGCCAGCCAGTGGCACCTGTGCCTCCAGTCTGCAGTCCCTGGAGTAGACGGTAAAGCTGTGGCGGGCTCGGGGGGTTGGGGGGGCAGCTCAGGCACCACAGGAGTCCCAGAGCACCTCCCAGCGGGCACGCTTGTCCCTGCTGGCCGTAGCCCCAGGGAGCTGCTCTGCCTCTCCCATCTCAGGCTCTAGGAGCAGGGATTGCTTCTCAGGGGCTCTGCCTCTCCTTACAGCCATACCACTAGCTCAGCCTGCCCTCCTGAAAACACAAAAACAGGCCTGGCGCAGTGACTCACGACTGTAATCCCAGGACTTTGGGAGGCCAAGGTAGGTGGATCACCTGAGGTCAGGAGTTTGAGACCATCCTGGCCAACACGGTGAAACCCCGTCTCTACTAAAAATACAGAAATTAGCCGGGCATAGTGGCGGATGCATGTAATCCCAGTTACTGGGGTGGGGGACTGAGGCAGGAGGATAGCTTGAATCCAGGAGGTGGAGGTTGCAGGGGACTGAGATCACACCACCGCACTCCAGCCTGGGTGACAGAGCCAGACTGTGTTGCAAAACAAAAACAAAAAGAAAACACAAAGACAGGCTAGGCCGCCTCCCCGCACCACCGACCTCAGGCTGGATCTCTGTCTGCGGGGCCGTCCCTGGCCTCTGCCCTCTGTGCTGCACCCCGAAACTGGCAACCAAAACATCTCCAGACATCTCCCGACATCTCCTGGGTGTGGAACTGCCCTATTGGGATCAGTCACTGCTCTACTGAAAACCTAAGCAAAGAATCCTAAAACAGGAATACCAGGCCGGGCACGGTGGCTCACGCCTGTAATCCTAGCACTTTGGGAGGCCGAGGCAGGTGGATCATGAGGTCAAGAGATTGAGACCATCCTGGTCAACATGGTGAAACCCCGTCTCTATTAAAAATACAAAAAATTAGCTGAGCATGGTGGCGCATGCCTGTAATCCCAGCGACTCAGGAGGCTGAGGCAGGAGAATTGCCTGAACCCAGGAGCCCCGAGGTCGCGCCATTGCACGCCTGGGTAAAAAAAAACTCTGCCCGTAACAAAAAAAAAAAAAAAACAGGAATACCAAAACCAGCCACAGGCACACGCTTTGTGTCCCGACTCCCATGGCCCACGCCTAGCGGCAGGCTCTAGGCCTAAAAGCCAGGTTTTCAAACTCCACAGGCGCTCAAGAAGTCCGGTGAGGGAATCTTGGGAAACGTCCCCGAAAAAATGAGAATCCAACCTCATTTGTGAGGCAGAGTCCCAGCCGTGGCTCAAGCACACCAAGCCCGGGCCTCTGGCGTGGGATCCGGAGGAAGCCCCCCAAGTTGCCCAGGCCTCTGACGTGGGATCCGGAGGAGTCTGCCCAGGGCTGACTCGGACAGACGAAGCCACACTTCTGTGGCTTTTCTGTATTCTCTGGTGTTTCTAAAACAAACCTTACCCCAGACCAGAAAGACACTACTTTAAAAAGCAAAGTGCCCAGAGACCTGCAGAAACATGGACAGGCCCCTAGGCCCTGGGAAGCCTGCACTTTTCCTGTCGCAATCCACCTGGAGGAGAGCCACTGACTCAGTCCCACCGGCCTCTGGAGGCTTCAGGCCTGCCCTGGCCAGGTGGTGGTGTGGGCAAAACACGTTCCTTGGTAAGCCTCAGTTTCCCCACTGACAGCACCTAGCTCACAGGGTCACTATGCAGCATGTGCCCAGCACACAGCAGGACCCCACAGGTGCTCAGGGCTAGCTGAGGGCCTGTCACTTGAACCTCTGTCCGCTCTCAATGCTGGGAGGGAAGCCAGCGTTCCTGCCTCCTCTCCTCTCTGGAGGCCACTGCCCTGTCCACCCTGGAATCCTCGAGAGGATATGGCAAAAGCTAGATCATGCCAGCCTCTTCAAAACCCACAGAAAACTGGGCATGTGAAAATCTGTAGGGGTAGGCATGAGACATGCACTTCCCGCTGGTGTCTTCAGAGGGTAGTGTGATGAGCATGTCTCGGAGGAGGAAACAGGGTCACAGAAGCCTGCCAGCAAGGAAGACTGAGCTGGGATTGGATCCTGCCTCTCTGCAGGGGAAGGCAGCCTTCTCCAGATAGTAACAAGAAGTCCTTCCACCCCAGCAGAGAGGGGGAAAGGAGTTCCTTCTCACCAGCAAAAGGAACATGCAGACACACCATGGTATGAAGCAGGCAGCTGCATTTTCCCAGAGGAATGGGGAGCAGACAGGAAGACTGCACCACCAAAGGGACCCTCAAAAATAAGCCTTTGAGAAATGAACGGGCCATTTCGGATACAGATAGATATCAAAAGCCTGACTTGCGCCAGGTGCAGTGGCTCACACCTGTAACCCCAGCACTTTGGGAGGCCGAAGCAGGAGGGCTGCTTGAGGCCAGGAGTTTAAAACAAGCCCGGACAACATAGCGAGACCCTATCCCTACAAAATAAATACAAAAGTTAGCCAGGTATGGTGGCCCACGCCACCCATAGTCCCAGCTACTGAGGAGGTTCAGGTAGGAGGATCCCTTGAGCCCAGGAGGTCGAGGCTTAAAAGAGCTGTGATCGCACCACTGCTCTCAAGCCTGGACTCTAGAGAGAAACCCCGCCTCTAAAAATAGGGTGAAAACGAGCATCGTGAGTCGGCTGTCATAGCCTCCGAGGAGCCTCCCCCATGCACTGCCTTCTTCAACTCCCAGCCCCCGCCAAAGCCGGCTGCGTGCTCCCGGGACGTCACGACCTCGTGCTCAGGAATCTGTGGCACATCTGTCGGCAGGTCCCAGAGCAAGGCCGGCAACACAGGCAGCGTTGATTGCCCGCCTCAGGCACAGCAAAGATGCTGGGAGCAGGTGGAGAACTGACAAGTGAATGCTTGCATCTGTCCAACTGCAAACAACCGGCCACAGCTGCAGGCGTCCTAAGCGTACGTCGGGGAGATCCGAAAGGTGCTACCTTTTCTAGCAAAACCAGAAAATAGGCCTATTCCTGAATCCTAGCGAACACGTTCCTCTTTTGGGAAGAAAAGATGCTGAGGTTGTAATCCAAGCACTTTGGAGGCCAAGGCGGGCCGATCACCTGAGGTCGGGAGTTCAAGACCAGCCTGACCAACATGGTGAAACCCCGTCTTTAAAAAAATTAAAAAATAAAAAAAAAAAAAAGAAAGAAAGAAACTCACGCCCAGTGAGGAAATCTGGGTTGAAGGAGTCAGGGGATGGGGGAAGGAGAGAGCCACTCTCAAGGGACAGAGGTCACAGGGGAGTCTGAATGACCACACTCCATAACCTTCCCTCCACGCGATGTCCCCTCTTTTCCTCCAATCCACACCCCACATCTCCTCCAGGAAACGCTGCCATGACGATGAAAACCACCATGACGCCGTGAGGTGGAGTCCCCCAGCGTCCACCGCCCGACCGAAAGCCTGGAATTCCTCGGAGCCCACTCAAGTGGACTTTGCCTTCCTCCCTGCCCGGTCATGCTGGACACACGGCTCGACACACACACGAGACGCTCCTCGGACCCTCCGGACGCAACGACTGGAGACCGAGGCGGCCGCTACCCCAGGCGCGGCCCGAGGACAGGTCATGGAAATAAACAAGGGCGGCCACAAGCACCTGGGCTCCGGGGAGCGGCGGGCGCGAGTCCGGGACAGGAGGCGCCCAGGGCCGGCCTAGTGCCAGCCGCGCCCGTCTCCCGAGACCCCCCTCGTGCCAGGCCCGGTGCCCGGTACTCAATCTGCGCTCGCACTCTGCCCTCTAGACAGCCCTGGCAGGACGCGTCCTCCCAGTGGACATCTCACACTCGTGAAGACCAAGGCTTAGAGAAGACCAGTGCTTTGCACCGGGTCCCCGGGCGGGTGGTCCCGCACCCGGCTGGGGGAACCGTCGCCCGCGAGAGCGTGGGGAGGGGGCTGGGCCGAGAACGGGGACCCCGAGCGGGCCCGGAGGTGGAGTCCAGACCCGGGCCGGGGAGCCGAGCTCAAGGCGGGCAGGCTGGCGGGCATTACCTGCTGCGGGGGGCGCCGCTCCGCCATCACCGGGCGCGCCGGGGACCCGGGCCCCGCGGTGCCGGAAGTGGCAGTAGGGCCGCCGGCAGGGCCCCCCGGGCGCCCCAGACCAATAGGGGCAGTCAATGGCCCGGAAGAAGCCAGTGGAGCGTAGCATGATCCGTCCCGCGGCGGGGCCCCGGCCCGGAGCCGCCCGGGCCCCCGGGCCCCCTCACTGGCGCCGCGGTCGCCGCCGCCCGCGCCTCACGGACCCCGCCGCCGCCATCTTGCTACGAGGCCCCCCGGAGGCCCCCGGGACGCTGCCGCAAGGGACCTCGGGAGGGGTTGCCCGCAGCGCGCCTGCTCAGAAACGCGTGCTCCCGTGGGACCGAAGCGGCTGGCGGACCCCTGGACCGGGACAGACGGCCGCGGGAGGAAGTAAGGAGGGCGAGGGCTGCCCTGCCTGCGGTCTCCGGAAGCCTCGCCAGCGCCGCCGCCCGGGCCTCCGCGGCTGTAGCGGCGCCATCTTGAGCCCCAGGGCCCCGCGGCGCCATGGCTGTCTACGGCGCGCCTGACCAAAAAAAGCCCCTCGAGGCCCGCTATGGCTCATTTGCATATCATTTCCATTCGTTAGTATATTAGTGTAAAGCGCCCTCTGCTGGACGAGGAGAGTTCTGCGGGGAGCTGGCCTTAAACCTGGACCAGGTGAAACCCACGGGTGAATTACTCCGTTAACCAATCCCCAAACTTAACAATAACCAATCATTTGTTCTCCTCAAAAAAAAAAAAAAAAGAAAAAAAAAAAAAAACCCTCCCCTCGCCCTGGTATACAGCTAGCTCCCAGGAAACGCCTTAATCTCCCCCACCTGGACCCTTGTCATCAGCCTAATGACCAGGTCCACATTCACTCATTTGTTCAACAAATATTGAGCACCTACTGTATACCAAGCCGTGCACTGTCTAGATGGTGCGTTTTAACAGACAAACGGGGAGCAAGGCTGGGATGGGCAAGCCTGTAGTCTCGTGGGGTAGGCCCACGTCTTCATGGGAAGTTTAATCTGGTGCATTTTGGTGGGATTGTAAAATAGTGCGACTGCTATGGAAAACAGAAGAAAAAATGTTAGTTTAAGAGACAGGGTCAGGCCGGGCGCGGTGGCTCAAGCCTGTAATCCCAGCACTTTGGGAGGCCGAGGCGGGTGGATCACGAGGTCAAGAGATCGAGACCATCCTGGTCAACATGGTGAAACCCCGTCTCTACTAAAAATACAAAAAATCAGCTGGGCATGGTGGTGCGTGCCTGTAATCCCAGCTACTCAGGAGGCTGAGGCAGGAGAATTGCCTGAACCCAGGAGGTGGAGGTTGCGGTGAGCCGAGATGGCGCCATTGCACTCCAGCCTGGGAAACAGGAGCAACCCTCTCTCTCAAAAAAAAAAAATTATCAACAAAAAAAAAGAGACAGGGTCTTGCTCTGTCACCCAGGCTGGAGTGCAGTGGTGCGATCACGGCTCACTGCAGCCTCCACTTCCCGAGCTCGGGTGATTCTCCCACCTCAGCAACCCCCAAGTAGCTGGAACCACAGAAATGCACCATCATGCCTGGCTAACTTTTTGTATTTTGTGTGTAGATGGAAAAAGTTAAACAGTTACCATATGAGCAACTCTATTCCTGAGTATACACCCAAAAAGAATAGAAAACAAGGTCTTAGGCTGGACGTGGTGGCTCACATTTGTAATCCCAGCACTTTGGGAGGCCGAGGCGGGTGGATCGCTTCAGTCCAGGAGTTCAAGGCCAGCCTGGCCAACAGGGTGAAACCCCGTCTCAACTAAAACTACAAAAAATCAGCTGGGCATGGTGGCTCGTGCCTGTAATCCCAGCTACTCAGGAGGCTGAGGCAGGAGAATTGCCTGAACCCAGGAGGTGGAGGTTGCGGTGAGCCGAGATGGCGCCATTGCACTCCAGCCTGGGTAACAAGAGCGAAACTCTGTCTCAAAAAAAAAAAATTATCTGGGCGTGGTGGCGGGCACCTGTAGTCCCAACTACTCGGGAGGCCAAGACAGGAGAATCGCTTGAACCTGGGAAGCGAAGGTTGCAGTGAGCCGAGATTGCACCATTGCTCTCCAGCCTGGGTGACAGAGAGACTCTGTCTCAAAAAATCATCATCATCATCATAAAATGGTCAGGATGGCAAATTTTATGTCACGTGTGTGTGATTTTACAACAATTATAAATAAATGACAGGGTGCAGTGAAGGGGGGACGTGGGTTGGGATGGGTCATGGACGACTCTTTGGAGGATGTGATGTCATCTCAGAGCTGTCCCATCACCAGCGGTGGAGGGGTAGATTCCTTGGCATGGCTCCTGCCATGCACGGGAAATGAAGTCTCATTTATGTGACTGCTCCATCCATGCCAGTTGGTCTTGTTCATTCATTCAGCAAATACTTACTGAGCGCCTGCTGTGTGCCAACCAACGCCAGAAACATTCCAAGAGAGGGAAGAACCCTACCCTGGTGGATGTGGTGGTGTCGACAGGGAGGGAGACAGTGAAAGCAAGAATAAGACGGCCTGAAGTGAGGGGGAAAGTGCTTTAGGAAGAGAAACAGAAGACCCTGGGCTGAGGAAAGGACGGGTCTGGTCTGGGTGGTTCTACGGGAAAGGCGGGATTTGTGCAGTTTTTTTTTTTCTTTTTTTTTTGGGGGAGACGGAGTTTCGCTCTTGTTACCCAGGCTGGAGTGCAATGGCGCGATCTCGGCTCACCACCACCTCCGCCTCCTGGGTTCAGGCAATTCTCCTGCCTCAGCCTCCTGAGTAGCTGGGATTACAGGCACACGCCACCATGCCCAGCTAATTTTTTGTATTTTTAGTAGAGACGGGGTTTCACCATGTTGACCAGGATGGTCTCGATCTCTTGACCTCGTGATCCACCCGCCTCGGCCTCCCAAAGTGCTGGGATTACAGGCTTGAGCCACCGCGCCCGGCCACGATTTGTGCAGTTTTAAAGAAAATTAGGGGCCGGGCACAGTGGCTCACATCTGGAGTCCCAGCACTTTGGGAGGCTGAGGTGGGCAGATCATTTGAGTTCAGGAGTTCGAGATCAGGGGCTGGCCAACACGGTGAAACCCCTGCCTCTACTAAAAATACAAAAATTAGGCGCGGTGGCACGTGCCTGTAATCCTAGCTACTGGGAAGGCTGAGGCAGGAGAACCCTTTGAACCTGGGAGGCAGACGTTGCAGTGAGCAGAGATTGCGCTACTGCACTCTAGCCTAGATGACAGAGTGAGACTGTGTCTTCAAAAAAGAAAGATAGCCGGGCGCGGTGGCTCAAGCCTGTAATCCCAGCACTTTGGGAGGCCGAGGCGGGTGGATCACGAGGTCAAGAGATCGAGACCATCCTGGTCAACATGGTGAAACCCCGTCTCTACTAAAAATACAAAAAATTAGCTGGGCATGGTGGCGTGTGCCTGTAATCCCAGCGACTCAGGAGGCTGAGGCAGGAGAATTGCCTGAACCCAGGAGGCGGAGGTTGCGGTGAGCCGAGATCGCGCCATTGCACTCCAGCCTGGGTAACAAGAGCGAAACTCTGTCCCCCCCAAAAAAAAAAGAAAGATGATTTTTTGAGGGGGCCAAGCGGGTCTCCAGGCAGAGGGCACAGCCCCCACAAAGGCCCTGGGGCAGGACTGCGCCTGGCGTGTTGAATCAACAGGAGGCTAGTGTGGCTGGAGCAGAGTAGGGAGGAACAGAGGGAGGAGGGAAGGGCAGGGAGAGGATGGGGCAGGTCGTGCAGAGCCCTGTGGGCCTCAGGGAGGGCTTGGGCTTTGCCTTCGAGGGCGGTGGGAGCCATGGAGGGTTGCTGGGAGAGGAGGAGCCAGACTTGCCCCAGGTGCTCACCGACGCCCTCTGGTGGCTGTCGGGAGGACAGACGGTGAGGGCACCAGGACGCCAGGGCGCAAGGGTGATTGCATTGATTCAGGGGGCTCGCCATGAGAGTGGGCCAGGTGAAGGATTTTAAAGCTGGGAAAGGCGGCCGGATTCCGGATGTATTTTGAAGGTAGACCCCAGGGAGGTTTCAGATGGACCAGGTGTGGGTGGTGAGACCCCCCAGGGAGCTTGGCCTGAGCACCTGAGAGGATGGGGCTGTCCTGACTGAGGAGGGGGTGCAGCAAGGGCAACCTGGGGGGGTGGGAGCGACACCCAGGAGGGTCAGGGTCCCAAAGGCACCGAGAGGCTGGTGCCGTTTCCGGGCACGTGTGTGTTGGGGGTGGGTGGCAGGGTGTAATTTAAAAGCCCAGTGCAGCCTGACGAGGTGGCTCACGCCTGTAATCCCAACACTTTGGGAGGCCAAGGCAGGCAGACCATCTGAGGTTGGGAGTTCGAGGCCAGCCTGACCAACACGGAAAAATCCCATCTCTACTAAAAATACAAAATTAGCACGGCCTGGTGGCGGGAGCCTGTAATCCCAGCTACTCGTGAGGCTGAGGCAGGAGAATCGCTTGAACCTGGGAGGCGGCGGTGAGCCGAGATCACGCCATTGCACTCCAGCCTGGGTAACAAGAGCGAAACTCCGTCTCAAAAATAAATAAATAAATAAATACAAAAATAAAAGCCCAATGCGAGTATGTCCGTCAGAGATCGAGGAGCGAGGCGAGTGTAGACCCCACATTCCGGACATTTTGCCCCAGAGGGGCAGAGAAGCAGGCAAGAGCAGGAGGGACATGCGAGTCCACAGGGTGACATGTGTGGGGCGTCTGGTGGAATGGGAGGGTGGGTGGGGCAGCATCGGGGGTGCCCGAGGGAGGCTGCCCTCGAGTTAAGGCGGGAACCCAGCACCCAGGTCTGGGAGGGGCCGGGCGTAAGGGCCGTGCCATCCCAGAGGCGGGCAGCAGGCGCAGCCCAGAGCTCCGCAGCTGTGCGGAGGGGCCGGCCCTGCCCCACCCCAGCCCCGCCGGCCTCCAGGCTCTGGGGAGCTCTGGAGTGAACAGTGGTTTTTCCTGGGGAGGGCTTCCAAGCTGTCACCGCCCCCTCTTCCCAATTCCCACTGGGGGAGCTGGTACGCAGCAGACGCTCACTGCGGAGCATTGGAGCCTGGAGGGCAGCCGGGGGACCCCCCGTGGGGGAGCCTGTCCCGAGCCGGCGAGCAGCCCCGGGGGCGCGGGCTCCCCCATCCACCGCGGCGCCGGAAGGGGCGGGCGGCTGACGCCCCCGGGCGCCGTGTCACCGTGTCTCGGTTGCCAGGCAACGGGGCGGGCGGGAAGCCGGGCAGGGGGCGCAGCTGCGCCAGGCGTGGGTGACACCGGGCGGGCGCAGCGCGCTCAGCTGCAGGCAGCCCTCTCCCCGGGGCTTAGGGCTGGGGGGGGCGTATTTTGTGTCTTGGCCAGAGGGGCCTGACCAAGACCCCCTTCACTGGTCCGCTGCCTCAGTTTCCCCACGAGGTGGACGAACTTGGGGCCACACTGGTGGGTGAGACAGAGGGGTTAAGAGCATGCTCACACGCTGGGGGCTGCCTGGGAGACAGACCACGACCACACACACACACACACACACACACACACACACACACACACACTCTGGAGTAAGGTTTAAAAAAGGGCTTGTTTAATTAATTAAATACAAGGATGAGCCCAGGCAGGGCGGAGGAGGGGCGCCACCCACAGAAAGCACACGTCCCTTGAAGCCACCTCCCCCGCAAAGGCAGGAACCAGGTCCCAGTGGCTCCTGGGGGCGTGGAGGAGTGGACACAGGTGTCTCCAGGCCCCTGGACACTGGAGAGGGCCCTGGGAACAGAGTTCTGGAACTCACAGCCCTACCCGACCCTGCTGCAGACAGGCCCCTGCCAGGGCGGGGCCCACCAAGACACACAAAGGAAAATGGGGCCCCAGTCCCCCACCCGCCCCCACAGACTAAGGCATCTCACTAACGCTGCCGGAGGAGGGTTTGAGGCCAGGGACCGAGGCCGTGGAGAGCTCCAGAAGAGCGTCCCCGCTTCCCTCCCCCCCAGGCCCCCAGGCCCCCATCCCTGGATCCTGCCAGGCCGGGGCTGGGTCCCAGTGCACACCAGTGCCACCCAAAGGCCCCCTGTCCCCCAGCGAGAGGCAGGAAGGTCCTGGAACAAAAGGGGGAACCAAAAACTTCCCACAGCCGATTTGGGGGATTCCGCCTTTCTGGGTCTCGGACATGAAACCTGGGACCCTTCTCATTCCAGGCTGGAGTCGTCAATACCCCCTAAGAGGAAATGCAACCCAGGCCACAGCAGGACGACCCCTGGCAAGGACATGAAGGTGGCCCCCGAGGGACAAGTCCCCACCCCACCGAAGTTCAGCTCAGAGACCCCCCCCACCCACTCACACCCCCTGAGGATGCCGGACCACCCACGGGGGCCCAGAAGAAAGAAATCCGTGCCTGAAAAAATATTCTACCCGGTGCAAAAAAAAACGAGCTACCCCAGGGGGCTGCACAGCCAGCCCTCTGCTTCCAGTCCACGAGGAAGACCTCGACCACGGGCCAGGGCCCACCTCTTCCAGGCACCCAGGAGAGGGAGGGGACGTCGGGGGAGCGGGGCCAAGCCCAGGAGGGCAACCCCGGCGGGCATGGGCTCTACAGCCCCACCTGCAGGCCAGGGAGGGCAGTGCGGCCCAACGCTGCAGGCCTCGGAAAAGGACAATTGATTGTCACATCATGCTGCAAAGCCCAAAGCTGGCGGCAGGGACAGGAGGGCCAGGCCCGGTGCCAGCCTCCCCTGCAGCCTAACACCCACCCACCCACCCAGACAGGGGAGCCGGGGCCCCAACCCCAAGGAGAGAGGGAAAATAAATAACTGGCATTCCCTCCGGACCCCGATGTCCGCCTCCCTCCCCTAGTGAGTCAAATGTTCTTTGGAAGAACCCAGAGTCCCCCTACCCCGCATCCCAGATCTCAGAAGCAAGACCTGGAGCCCCTCTGGGCATCCTAACGCCTCCCAATCCCAGCTCTACCCCCGAGGTCTGGGGGGCCGGGCAGCCCCTACCGTGGGCAGAACCCGTGGACACCTGAGATAGAGTACCCGAGTGGGGAGCGGCCGGGCAGCACCCCTGTTTCCCTGAACTACTCCCATGGCTTTCGGTAGGGTGGGGTGGGGTGGGGAGAGGCAGGGGCTGTGTCAACCCCTGGCTCCTGTATGGCTGTCTGCACACTTCATCCCAACCTGCAGGGACAGGGCAGGGGTGCCTTCCCTGGGCCAGCTCCCAGAAGCCCACTCTACCCCCAAACCCCGCCCCGGGAGGGGGGCAGCAAGGGGCGGTGGAGAGGAGAGGGGAGGACCTCCTGGCTGCCCCCGGGGACCCAGTGCACAGATGGGAAGAAAGTTAGTATCATGGCTATTTACAGACACAAGCCCCGGTCACCCGTCCTGAAGGCCACCTCTGAAGTCAGGCAGCCCCAGGTCCAGTCTCAGGCCCCTCCTCGCTCTCTGGAGGGGGCAGGGGCATCTTCAGGGTTTGACCCCAGCTGGAAGGGACCAGGGCTCTCTGTGGGTCCTCACCATACCCCTGGACGGCAGAAGCATCCTGGCGGTCAGGGTGGGCTGGCCGAGGGCCCTACAGGCCAGCGGGGGCAGGGCTGGGCGCGGGGCTGGGCGCGGGGCTCCCGGCCAGGCTGCAGGGCAGCGAGTCGCTGGGCGAGGTGCTGCGGGCACCCGGGCGCCGGAGCAGGTCCGGGTGGAAGCCGGGGTGGCGGCGGGCGTGCTTGGCCAGGTGGTCGCTGCGAGTGAAGCGCTTGGAACACAGGGGGCAGGAGAAGCGCTTCTCGCCGGTGTGCGTCCGGTGGTGGCGGGCCAGCTCGTCGGAGCGGGCAAACTTCTTGTCGCAGCCCTGCCAGTCGCAAGCAAAAGGGCGTTCCCCTGAACAGAGAAGCAGAGACAGACAGCGGTCAGTGTAGGGGGTGGGGGGGGGTGCACACATTCCAGCAGATCCCAAAGGGTGGTGGGCATTTGTCCCTAGAGGCTGAGTGCTGGGTGTCAATTTAAAACATGGAAAAGTACAGAGCGCACGACGCCTACCCACCCTCCAGTGGCCCCACACGAGACCCCAATGAGCCACCCTCTCATTTCCTACGAGCTCTTAGAACCCAGAATCTGCTAGCCGTAAGGAAAACTTACAGACCCCCAAGGCTGAAGCCCCCAGGCCCGCCAGCCTCTGGCCCCAGGCAGGACGTGGCAGGGATGAGCGAGGCCCTCCCTGGGTCTGTCCTAGGCACAGCCAGGCTCAGGACGAAGGCCGTTTTTGCAGCAGCGCAGGGGTCAGGCTGGCCCTCCCCCTCCTGAGGGACATTCAGGGGCCTCTGTGTGTGCATGACCCCAACCACTATCCCCCTTTTCCAAATGACATCTGGGGTGCAAAGACTGGGTTAAGGGGGGGCACCACCACGCAGCTTGCCTAACTCTCCTGGCCCCTCCGCGAGCAGGGGGACGTGGAGAAACCCGCACGCACGGCCGGTCTTGGCCCCGGCTCTCCGGGTGGGGTCAGAGGGAAGGCCAAGGCAGGCAGGGTAACCCACAGGGATGGGAGGGGGAGGGGCGGGGCCCCCCGGGAAGGGGCGGGGCCCAGCAGGCTGCACTCGCCCGCCCCACAGGACAGATGGCGCTGGGCAGGGGCGGGCCACCACCCGGCCACTTCCTCCACAGTCCCCTCCCACCGCCAAGGCCGGGCCTCGCCCATCCTGCCCCCAACCTGCCGTCGCCATCCCGGCCTGCCCGTGTGCCTCCACCCCGTGTGGGTCTCTGCTCCAGAACTGTGCCACCCCAACCCCTTTTAGCCGAGCCTGACGCCCACAGCGTGTGACATCCATGATGTCAGCGTCTCCCCGGCAGACAGGGGTCTCCAATGACCGGGGAAGGACAGGTCAGTCCACCCAGGCCCCAGAGCAGGACAAAGGGCCTGGCACCCCTGAAGCCTGTACCCTTTTGAGCAGGTCCCTGGGACCCTGGCATCCCTGGAGGCTGACGCCCCAACATTCCAGGGTTTTGCAGGGTGGTCTGTGTGGATGGAGACTGCTCGAGCCCCTCTTGGCACTGGCTGGAGCCCTGAGTACCAAGGGAGACGTCAGAACCAACTCCCCTGGGTAGCCCCAAGGCCTATCCTCAGGGGAGCCACAGCAGGACCAGGGCAGCCAGGAGGGTGGTCACCCACTGGGTCACACACTGGGCAGCCCACACTGGCACTGGCCACTGCTCAGGCCCTGGGAGCACTCCCACTGTCAGTGGAGAACTGCAACCAGGCCGAACTTGGTGGCTCACACCTGTAATCCCAGCACTTTGGGAGGCCGAGGTGGCTGGATCAGCTGAGGTCAGGAGTTCGAGACCAGCCTGACCAACATGAAGAAACCCCGTCTCTACTAAAAATACAAAATTAACCGAGCATGGTGGCACATGCTTCTAATCACAGATACTCAGGAGGCTGAGGCAAGAGAATCGCTTGGACCCGGGAGGTGCCAGTGGCAGTGAGCCAAGATTGCACCACCACACTCCAGCCTGGGCCACAAGAGCAAAACTCCTCCTAAAAAAAAAAAAAAAAAAAAAACCCGCAGCCCCCCCAGCCCCCAAAAAAAACCCAAAACAGGGACCATGGTGAGGGGGTCCCGAGGTGACCAGCGCCAGTAAGAGGGACATGGCCATGCTCAGGGTGACCCGGTGACATATCTGCTCTAAGAAGATCAGGGGCTGCCCTGGGGAGCCCAGCTGAGGATGGGGACAGGAGGGTGAGGGGTCCGCTCACTGAGGGGCACCAGCGATCACCTGTGACCCAGGAAGGGCTGGAAGAAAAAAGCTTCCTTTCTCCCCATCCCATCCCTCCTTCCTGCCACACCCTGACACCCTCAGACCAGCAGCCCCTACCCCCAAGAGGTGGTGAATCCAGGAAGCTGGAGAAGAGAGCAACTGTCCCCAAGACCAGCAGTGGCCCCAAATCCCTGGGGCTGCCTGCTCCACACCCCAAACCACCCCCAAGCAACCCAGGATACAGACAGCAGCAGCTAGGGTCGGGGGTCCCCCCGCAGGGGGCCATCTAGACCAAACAAGAGGCGCAGAGCAGTCCTGGGAAGGACCCCACGCCCACCTCAACCCCACTGGGCCCTGCCAGCTCCCAAGGCCTCAGTCTGGGAAGGGGGTCTGGCTGTGAGAGCGCGGCTAAGGCAGACCACGGGACGGGGGCACGCGCCCCTCCAGGGGCCACACCGCCGTGTCGCCATCTTGCAAGGCACAGGCGGGGAAGCGACAGGAGGGAAGGCGGCACATCCCACGGCTGGGTGCCCGGCAGTCAGTTAGTTCACTTCCCCTTTCGGGGCGGCGGGGCTGGTCCCCGCCCCCTCTCCCTCAGTTCCACTTTGCGAGGAGCAGGTTGCCAGGGGGGCGCGCGGGGCAGGGCGCGCGCAGCCGCTGGGAACACAGCTGCCGCACGTAGCTCGGCGGCGGCGGGGACATCCGCAGCCCCAGCCGGCCCCACTCACGTGGTCCCGCTCCCGCCGGGGCCAGGGGGCCCGGGCCAGGGTCGCCTAGCCGGCCTGAGCTCCTGCCAGCCCCGCGTGCTCGGAGGCTGGGGCGCACACGTGCGCACGTGGGTGGCGGGGTAGGGGGTGCGCGGGCTACCCGCCCCCGCCGCGCTGGGCGAAGAGCATCTGCGAAATGCCAGGCCCTGCCACCCTCTCACACAATCCGCTGGCAGGGAGGAGGGTGGGGTGAACCTTTGGGGGCCCGGCGTGCGCTGGCTCCCAGCCGGCCGGACCCCCAGCGGCACAGCCACCCGGCTGCTCCGCGCTACCTGTCTGGGAAGCGGCGCCGGTGCATGCGGTGGGTGGGGACAACGCGGGAGGGCAGTGTGGGCGGGGCCACGGTGGACTTGACCCTCTGACTCAGGCTGGGCCCGGGTGAACTCGGGACAGCCTCGGAAACCGGCAGGCTCAGAAAAATGGAGGCCAGGAAGTCCTGGAAACCTGGCCTGGCCCCCCTGAGCCGGCAGAGGCGGCGCCTGGAGACGGGTCTGCTCCCTGGGCCCAGGTCCCCACCGGGAAGCCTCACCTCCTGAGCTTGTCTGGGGGCGTGAGGTGGGGAGGGGAGCTGCGGCCGGCCGCCTGCCAGGGCCCTCAGGTCCACCTAACAGGTGGGGTCGGCTCTGCAGGGGAGGGCGCAGGTGGGGAAGCTCAGCCCCAGCTGCAAAGAGCCAGGAGAGGCTGGGGCTGGGGGAGGGGAGGCCAGGGAGGGGCGGGGGCTCCTGAAGGTGACCCCTGAGCCGGTTCCACAGAACCTAGAGGGAGCTGCTTCTGGGAGACGCTGCAGAAGGCGGGGAACATGGGTGGTGAGGTCCCACCAGCCTAGGAAGTGGGGTCTTGAATACCATCTGGGCCATGGCAACCCCCACACCCACTCCACCGCCAGCTCCCCCTGTCTTCCCACAGCCAAAGCTTCCTGCCTCCCCCATCCCCACTCCTCCAGCAGACTTCCCCTTTCCAAGCCCTCTGCTGTTCCCGCCAAATACTCAGGCAGCCATACCCCGCCCCCCCCTCAATCCCTCCCCTCCCCACGTGCCACCCGCCACCCAAATCCCATCGCCTTCGGGATCATCCAGACCCCACCCTGCCCCTCCCAGCTCACGCCCGGACTAGTGCAGCAGTCCGGCAGCTCCTGGGCCACCCAGACTCTGCTTGGCTCTCCAGAGCTCCGCGCTGGCCCAGGGTCAAACCCCATCCTGCCCGGAGCTCCTCTGAGCAGTACTGCTCCTCACAGTGGCCTGGCGTCCCTCACGTGTCCTCGGTCAGCTTCTCTATCCTTGTGCCAAGCGTCTAAAAACGTTTGCGTCTTGTGGGTGTAATGTATGTGCCCCGAACTCCAGTGGAAGCTGAAGGCAGGCACTTGTTCACAGCGGGGTCCCCAGCCATGCCCAGCACAGACCTGGCATACAGCAGGCGCTTAATGGGTATCTGTGCAAGGGGAGCATGCAGGCCTAGAGGATGAAGTTGCTCGGCATGTCCAACACCCCTGTCCCCCCCGCCCCCACCGACCTGTCACCATCCCCTTCTGCATATAAGGAGGCCCACCCCAGGCCGGGACCTCCTGACCTCCCACAGACTCTGAGTACCTGGGGGCTGGGGCTGGGGGGTGGTGGGGAGGGACAACTCCCTGAAGGGCCCTGGTGCCCTTGGAACCTCTGTTCCAGAACTGGCCTGAGCCAGGGCGGCCCCCCCAGCACGCCCGGGTGGTATCTGCATCCTCCCCACCGATCTGGGCTTTTATCAGAGAGCCTGGGTGGGGGCTGGTTATCACCCCCCACAACCTTGGAGGAGCCCTGCCCCAAGCCGCCAGCTGGGGCACCTGCAGGCAGTTCCAGCTGCTCTCGGCACTCTGCCGGCTGGAGAGAGGGTGGGTGCGGGAGGGCAGTCCCTGGCCCCCTGCCCTCCACCCCGTGGCCTGGCACTGCCCCTCCCTGGCCTTCCACAGATAAGCTGCCAGTTCTCCCAAGCTCTGCCCACCAGCGCTGCCATCCCGACCCTACAGGAGCGCATAGTTCTGCCTGGGGGTGGAGGAGAGAATACAGGGTGGGACATCGCTGCTTCCCTCTCGAGCCTCAGTTTCCCCACCCACCTGTCCTCCGGGGGCCCTAGGAGGCACCCAAGCACTGCGCTGCAGACCTCGTCTCGAGGGTCTCCCTCCAGCCCATCTGCAGACAGCACACCTCGCTCCCTCCCGCGTCTCACCCTGCCCTCCTCACCCCTCTCTGATCCTAATCCCTTCTCCATAAACGGATTTTCTTCTGCAAAGCCCAGCCTGCCTCGCTGCCGCCCCCAGCGTCCCCACCCTGGGGATTAAATGCAGACCTTCACCTTCGCGAGGTGCCCCCTCCTCCCCAGCTCAAGTCCCGACCTCCAATTCCTGCCCGAGAACCAGCACGCCCTCTCTCTTCCATTCCCTGCCCCACCCAGCCCGGTGGGCCTCGGGCTGCCACCTCCAGGAAGCGCTCTCCGCCATCACTCGGAACCCTGTTGCTCCCCCACCCCCCACCACACACACACAGTTCCCTAAGTCGTGGGGCGCAGGGACTGGGATGCTTGCCGCTGACCTGCTGCGGGGGCACACCAAGACCCCTCTCAGATGCAAATAAACGGGACTTAGAGAGACAGTGGGGTACAACGGCCGGGGGGGGGACCCTGCAGCCCCCTGCAACACCTGAGGACACTTGTGGTTGTCACGACTGGGAGGTGCTCCTGGTATGGAGTGGGTGGAGGCGGGGACGCTGCTCAGCACCCTGCAGTGCCCAGGACGACCCCACCCCAGAAAACCATCAGGCCCCAAATGTCTCAGTAAGTAAGTGCGGAGGGGGAGAAGCCCTAGATGACCAGACCCCTTGCAGGTCTGAGCCCCGCTCCTGCGGAGGGCGTGGGCAAACCCTCCGGAGGCACAGGCTGACAAAGCGCTGGGCACTGGGACGCCGGGGGTGGGGAGGCCCCTCTGGGGATGCAGGGAGCAGACAGCCAGCCTCTCCTCCCGCCCCCGCCCCAACTCGCTGGCTCTCTCACTCTCCGTAACCATAGCAACGGCGTCAACATCTCCCACAGCTTCCAAAGTCCTTCCCCGCCCCACGCAGGGGAGAGAGAGAGCCGCCGAGCTGGGAGAGGGGCTGTGGGCCAGACCCAAGGGACGGGAGGAGCCGGCCTGCCCCCTGCTGCCCCCATGAAAAAAAATCCCACTGCTCCTCTGGCCGCCTGGCTCCCAGGGCCCAACCTGGCCGAGATGTTGGCAGCACGGTGCTTTGCGCAGGCGGGGCTCCGCCTGTGTGCCTCAGTTGGCTTATCTGTAAAAATGTGTTCCCTTTACAGAGAAGAAGCACCCCAGGCAGGGGTGGATGGGGCTGGAACCCCCTTCCCAATGGCCCCCCAGAGCAGCCCTGCCGCTGCCATGACTGGGGTTCCTCTGATCTCTCTCGACCTCCACTCAGGGACGGCCCTGAATTGGGGCTCCCTCCCAAAAAAACACATGGCCTTCCTGTCCCCGAAAACCAGCTTAATAGCTGCCATCCTCTCCCTCCCCCAGGGGGGCTGGAAAAAACCAAAGCACCTCTCACTAAGACAGGCGGTTTACACAGACCCCTGGGCAGGCCTGGGGAGGCCTGGAAGAGGAGCCTGGACAGCCCCAAGTATCCTAAACCCTTTGGAGAGCGAACCCAAGGTGCCTGGGCCCAGGACTGCCCTCCCAGTACCCGAACTAAGATTGTAAAGGGGGCTTTGGGACAGGCACAGGCTGGCTCCCAAGGGGTGAGGGAGAGTGCCAGGAGACGCATGCTGCCCTCCCCCACCAAGCAGGGTGGACGGTGGTGCGTCATCTGCACATCTGCACCACCTGAGATGCCAGCCTCTACCCCCCACGACTGTTTCTCACTGCGACCCCGGGACAGCAATACTGCCTTCCCAGGACTCTGAACCCACCCTACCCTCCCTGCTGGCTGAGGGACTACTGTCCCCACGGCCCGGGAGCCTAAGGAAGCACCCCTCGCCACTGTGCGAGGTGGCCATCCCGTCCACTTAACGAGAATCTCAGAAGACCCAAATAGAGCTCTCAGGCCACACCGTTTGGCATAGAAAGGATGACCTGGGCAGACAGGTGGCGGTCGCTTTGTCAACAGGCTCCCACTTCAGCCCCTCTCTTCAGATCGGCAAACTCATCCCCAGCGAGCCAGGGCATTCCTGGACCCCTGCCCACCGCTGCCTCGCTATCCTCACAGACCTCAAAACGTCCCTCCCCTCGGAGACACACGGACCCCACTGCCCTCGGACAAAAGATGTAATATTCTCGGACTCCTCCGCCGAGGATGGTGGCTCCTCGCAGAAAATGCAGATCCCACCCAAGTCCCGTCCTGATGCCCTCGGTTCCTGTCTGTCTCCAGGTGGGCAGAGCCTCCAGGCCCCGGGCACCAGGACAGGGACTGAGCCAGGGGTGTAAAGAGAGAACACACCACCGCCCCCACCCACCCTCCTGCTCTCCAGCCTCAGGCGTCCCAGCTCGGCTCCCCACGCCCCAAGGATGGACCCTCAGCTCTTCCACCAGGCATTCGAGGCCCCTGCTCAGCTCAGCCCCACCACCTGGACAGCCCGCTTCCCTGCGGCTGCTCCTCGCGTCCCTCCAATCCGAGCCCACGGACCCAGCCCCCTGGAGTGTCCGGCCGCCCAAAGCGGCCCCCGCTACGACTGTGAAATACAGAGAGCATCGCACTCTTGATCGAAATGAGAAAATCGAGACTCAGATCGGGTAGAGATCCTCTGCTTGGGAGCAGGGCCAGAACACCAAGCCCAGGTGCAGCCCCACAGCCTCCCCCCGGTCCCCTACCCTCCCCGGAAGGGACAAGCACCTCGAACGCCCAAACCCGGGAGGGCCATCAAGGCCGACCGTCCCCTGTCATCCAATCCAAACTTCCAGTCCAGAAGGTGGAACCCAAGGAGGGGACAGAGTGAAAAAATATGGCCAGGCTCACCCGGCTGCCGGTTCCCCTGGCCGCCCCCGGGGCTGCGCTAGGAGGGGCGTTGGTGTAGCCGGAGCGCTCCCCGCTCCAACCCTGCGCACCAACCCGCCAGATAGGGGTGAACAAATACGCCGGGGAAATACACGCAGCGTGGACCCGAGTCCCTCGAGGGGTCCTGTAAAGTCTCCCCGCCCTGGACTCAGGCCCACACTCCCAGCCGCGCCTCCCCCTCGTTAAAATACAGAGAACGCAGAGAAAACGTGCCGGGCTCCCCCATCCTGGCCCCGCGCCAGGAGCTCTGCCGACCTCTGGGGAGAATCCGCGAGGCCACCCTGGAGGCGGCGACGCGGTTCCTCCTCCATTTTCACAGATAAGGAAACTGAGGCTGGGGGAGGGGGAGGACCCAGAACCTCAGGGCCGGATGCTGCAACCACAGCGCCCACCGCCCAGACCAGAACGCAAAAGAAAAAAAAAAAAAAACGGAACAAGGCGCAGAGACGGGGAGAGGTGGTCTGCATAGGAGTCTCGCTCCCGCCCGCGGACCCCGCTGGGCCCCCGGAGCCCCGGCCACGGCCGCCGGGGCGGCCATCCGCTCGCCGCCCGACCGCGTGGCCGCCACGCCCCCCGCGCGCGCCCCACCCACCGAGGCCCCGCCCTGCCGGCCGGCGCGGCGGCGGCCCGGGCGCGCCCCCCTCCCCGCCCCCCACGCGCCACGCAGTTTCGGGGTCCCGGCGGGGGAGGGGGCTCGGGCGGCCACCCCCGCCCGGGCCGGGATCGCTGCTGCGCTCACCTGTGTGCGTCCGCAGGTGCGACTTTAGGTGCGAGGACTTGTAGTAGGCTTTGGCGCAGTCCGGGAAGGGACAGCGGTGGCTCTTGGCGGCGGCGGAGGGCGCGGCGCCGGGGGCGCGGCCCGAGGACGGGGACGAGGCGGCGGAGGAGGAGGAGGCGGGCGAGGCGCCCCCCGGGGCGGCTCCCGGCCCGCCGCGCAGGTCGGCCAGGATGCTGGCGGCCAGCAGGTGGGGCGCCGCGGCGGCGCCGGGGCCCGGGCCGGGGACGGTGGGGGGCGGCGGGGGCAGCCCCGGGGTCCCCGGCGAGGCGGCCTCGCGGCGCGCCGCGAGCACATCCAGGCCGGCGGCGGGGCCCGCGCCCTCGGGGCCGGGCCGCCCGCGGTGCACCACGGCACCCGAGGAGATGGCCATGAGCACGTCGGCAGCGAAGTAATCCACGCACGCCACGGCCGCCGACATGCCGGGCAAGGGCGCGGGGCGCGGCGGGCAGAGAGGAGGCGGCGGGAGCGGCGCCCGTCCGGCCGGCGGCGGCTGCTCGAGTGCGGGAGGCGGAGGAGGAGGAGGAGGAGGAGGAGGCCCGGCGCGCGCCGCCGCCGCCGCCCGCGCTCGGCCTGCCCCGCCCCGCCTGACGCGCCCTGACGCACCGGAGCCCGCGGGGGCGGCCACAGCCCGCCCCGCCCGGAGGACGCCCCCTCGGGGCGCCGCAGCCACGCCCCCCGCCCGGCGCGCCCTCCACCACTCTCCGAGCCGCGCGCTGCCCCCGGAGGCGGGGCTCGGACCGGAGGAACCCGCCCCCGGCGCGCCCACTCCGGCCTCCGGGAGCGCCCAGCGTCTTAGGCCGGGAGCGCGTCCTCTCCGCGCTGGGAAGCAAGGCCGGGGAGCCCCGCCCCCTCCCGGCGCGCCCCACTCCAGTGCGCGCCCCCGTACCTTTCCCTGGGGCAACACCCCCACAAGCCGGGGCGAGAGGTCAAGGACCCCGCCCCCTCTCCGGCACGCCCCTCCTTCCCAGAGCGCGCCCCGCCCCATCCCGGCACGCCCCTCCCTCCAGAACGCGCCCCGCCTTCTCTCTGGCGCGCCCACCGCACGCCGGGGCGCGCGGCCGGCGGGAGCCCGCCCCCTCCCCGGATGCTTCCACCCCGGCCCCGGGCGCGCCCCCGTTCGCGATGGAGGAGGGCTCCGATCCCCACGTGGCCGGGGTGGGGGGGGGGGGGTGCGGAAGCGGCCAGCCCCGCCCCCAAGCCACGTGCGCGACCCTTCCCCCCCTTCTCCCGGCCTGCCTGCTCTGACCCCACACCAAGGCAGCTGCTGGAGCTCTTCTCTGGGGTTCCTTCTCGCCGCTCACGGAGTCCCTGGGGACCACCGGCTTAGGCACCCGGTACCCCGCGGCGGGCCCGCGAGGGTGGGGCAAGCTTGCGTTGGTTCCTCTTTGCACCCAGTTCCGGAGCTACTGGAGCGCAGCCCACTGGGGGTGGGGAGCGCCGTGTGGGTCCAAGAGGGTCGGGGTACGGGGACGGAAGAGGGGCCGAACGCAAAGGAAGGGCTGGGCTGGGCTGGGGGCGCCTAAGCGGGGAAGAGGTTCCCTGCCCTGCTGGGACACTGGGTCCGGCGCTCCGCTTTCCAGTCCCAGGCATCGATCCTTAGGGCTCGGACGGGAAAACTGAGGCCAGGTATTGAGGCCTCCCGGCCGCGAGGACGTCCGGGCCAAGTTAAATATCGTCCTGGACGCAGGGGACGCGGATGGCCCAGCTCGCAGGCCCAAGGTGGCGGGGGCGCAGAAGCTGGGCGGCCCCCCCTGGGTCGCGACCGCGCTCCCGCCTCTTTCCAGCTCCGGCGGGGCGGCGGGGACAGCGCAGTGGCCGCAGCGGCCTCCAGGGGGCGGAGCTGCTTTGGCCTGCGGCGACCTCCTGTTCTGGGCTGGGCATGGACAGAGGCCCTAACCCGATTCCCGGCTTCTCTAGGCCCATCCTTCCCACCTGCAACCCCAGCTGACGCCCTGAGGCTGACCACTGTCCCCCGGATCGCCCGCACCGCACCTGGGCTCAACCAGGCTTGGTGAAGCCAGCTGAGCCCTCCCGGCCCCAGTCAGCCCGCTGGACCTAGCTGCACAGAGCCGAGCCCAGAGAGGAAGCTCAGCCAGTCAGGGAGGGCACAGGGTGTATGCACGCACACTTGCCCCTCTCCTAGGCCTGGGCCCCAGAACCCTCTCTGCACCCCCTCCATGTGTGGGCACGCGGCGGGTGCTGGGGGTCACCGTTCCTGCTCCTACTGGGCCCCTGGTGTCTTTGAACCTCTAGGACGGTGGGCCACCTGAGCAGGTCCCCCAGCCTCCCACTGTCTCAGCAGCCCCTAGGGGCCTGGGACCCAGCGTTGAGGCCTCAGGGGTCACACCCAAGCACCTGTCTTCCGTTGATGTTTCCTGGCTTAGAGCAGAACCAACCAGCCCTGCCCTCGAAGGGCTTACAGTTGCGACTGGGAGCCTAATGATGGGATGGGCAGGGGTGAGCCGCCCCCAGGGTGGGCCACGTGGCCCCAGGCAGGGCCTTCTCTGTGAGACCCCGACGTCTGCCCATTCCAGCCATCATCAGGGTTTCAAGTGAGTGGCCTCATCTGCAGGTCATGCCAGCCACTCCATAGGCAGGAGACCCCAGGTGGGGAGCACACAGCCCACACCCCACCCCTGAGGTTTCTGTTCACACCCCTAAGCCCCAGGAACACTCAGGCAACGCATGGGGCCTGCAATGAACATGGACAGCCCCTGCCTCCAGCCTGACAGCAGCAAGGGGCACTGCGCTCTGCCCGCTCTTCCTTACTCTCCTATGACCCTGTGTCTCCACCAGGCACAGTGGCTCATGCCTGGAATGCCAGCACTTTGAGAGGCCAGGGTAGGAGAATCACTTGAAGCTAGGAGTTCAAGACCAGCCGGGGCAACAGAGTGAGACCCCGACTCTCCACATGTTCTCTACTAAAAATACAGAAAGAACAATTAGCCGGGTGAGGTGGTGAGCACCTGTAGTCCCAGCTACTCAGGAGGCTGAAGCAGGAGAATCGCCTGAACCTGGGAGGGAAAGGTTGCAGTGAGTCAAGATCCCAACACTGCACTCCAGCATGAATGACAAGAGCAAAACTTCATCTCAAAAAAATAAAAAAAAATTAGCTGGAGTCTGGGCGTCGTGGCTCACACCTATAATCCCAGCACTCTGGGAGGCTGGGGTGGGTGGATCACCTGTGGCCAGGAGTTTGAGACCAGCCTGACAAACCTGGAGAAACTCCGTCTCTACTAAATATACAAAAAAAAAAAATTAGCTGGGCATGGTTGTGTGTGCCTGTAGTCCCAGCTACTCAGGAAGCTAAGGCAGGAGAATCTCTTGAACCCAGGAAGCGGAGGCTGCAGTGAGCCAAGATCACGCCACTGCACTCCAGCCTGGGCAACAAGAGCAACACTGTCTCAAAAAAAAAAAAAAAAAAAAAAAAAAATTAGCTGGCCGCAGCGGCCCAGCTAGCAGTGAGCTGTGATTGCACTCCAGCCTGGGTGACAGAGCAGGACCCTGTCTTGAAAAAAAAAGGGAGTTGTCATTCCCATTTTACAGATCAGGACAATCAAGACTGGAAGAGGGAGAGGCGCTCACAGCTAAGAGGCAGCAGAGTTTGGGGCATCCAGGTTCACATATAACTCAGCCCCTTCTTTCTTCAAACCTGTTCCTCGGCCGGGCGCGGTGGCTCAAGCCTGTAATCCCAGCACTTTGGGAGGCCGAGGCGGGTGGATCACGAGGTCAAGAGATCGAGACCATCCTGGTCAACATAGTGAAACCCTGTCTCTACTAAAACTACAAAACATTAGCTGGGCATGGTGGCGCGTGCCTGTAATCCCAGCTACTCAGGAGGCTGAGGCAGGAGAATTGCCTGAACCCAGGAGGTGGAGGTTGCAGTGAGCCGAGATCGTGCCATTGCACTCCAGCCTGGGTAACAAGAGTGAAACTCTGTCTCAAAAAAAAAAAAAATAAAAAAAAAAAAAAAAAAACAACCTGTTCCTCACCTGTAATTCGGGGGTCAGGTCTACCCTTCCCTGACAGCACCCAAGAGGTTCGGGACAGCTCCTCCCCCCCCCACAGATGGACTCCCAAGCCTGAGGGCTACAGAGCAAAGCTCAGCAGGGGACAGACAGCACCCACATGTTGCTGGTGCCGGGTCTGTGGGGGACAGGAAGAACACAACAGGGGACTCTCAGAGGGGACACTGAGCCAGGAACTTGGGCCCTGACTTGGGAGAGGGCGAAGAACACACTCTCCCAGGGCACAGATGAGGGCAGAGGTTACGTAACCTGGGGTGCACCCACAACACGGATACCCCAAGGTAGATGAGGGCCAAAAACAAGGGCGCAGGGCTGGAGCAGTGGCTTACACCTGTAAGCCCAGCATTTTGGGAGCCAAAATGGGAGAACTGCTTGAGCCCAAGAGTTCAAGAGCAGCAACATAGTGAGACCCTGTCTGTACAAAAAAAATTTCAAAACCTACCCAGACATAATAGTGCACGCCTGTGGTCCCAGCTCCTCCGGAGGCTGGGGCAGGAGGATTGCTTGTGGCCCAGAGGTCGAGGCTGCAGTGAGCTGTGATACACCCAGCCTGGGCAACAGAGCAAGATCCTGTCTCTGAAAGTAATGATGAACTGGCTGGGTGCAGTGGCTCACCCCTGTAATCTCAGCACTTTGGGAGGCCAAGGCGGGTGGATGACCTGAGGTCAGGAGTTCGAGACTAGCCTGGTCAACATGGTGAAACCCCATCCCTATAAAAATTAGCCAGGAGTGGTGGAGGGTGCCTGTAGTCCCAGCTACTTGGGAGGCTGAGGCAGGAGAATTGTTGAATCTGGGAGGCGGAGGTTGCCGAGATCGAGCCGCTGCACTCCAGCCTGGCAACAGAGCGACACTCCCTCTCAAAAAAAAAAAATATATATATATATAAAAATGAATACAATAACGAATAACAAAGGTGCAGCGGGAGGGGGGTACGTGTAGGGGTGTGTGCGTGTGCGTGTGCGTGTGCGTGTGCGTGTGTGCGCCCGCGCTGGAACCGCCATTTCTTCTTACGACAGTCAGGCCCGTGCTTTGTAATAGTTTTGATAGTGCTTTCTGTAGTACTCAAGAGGATTTTTTTACCATGTGTATTTACTACATGTCTCTAAACGTCAACAGGTATCTAAGCAATGCAATTATGGGCCACTTGTCCTTTCATTTTTATGCTGTTCTTCATGAGAATTCATCTTCTAAATAAAACCTCCCCCCCGCCCCCTGCCCAGTGTGGGCTGGACTGAGTGACTGGCTGCCACAGAACAGAACAGGGAGAGGAGACGGCGGTGGTGGGCCCCAGGAGACCAGGGACCCCGCCTGCACCAGGCGGCTGAGGTCAGCATCACGAGGGAAGTTGTGGGGGTCTCAGGGACCCCTGCTGGGTGGTAAGGAGAAAGGCACCTGGAGTGGGGCATCCTTCCCCAAACATGTCACCTCGGCGTGACTCTGGGAAGACGGGCAAACCCAGGTTAGGGGGTTTCACAGAAGGCCTGAGCAGGCCTCCTCAAGACTGTCGAGGTCATTA